GCACAGGCTCAGGATTGGTGTGCCTCCAGGCTTAGAGGGTTTGCTCTGTGTTGATTGGTCAACTGGTTGTTATGGCCCATAGGCCCTCCCAGGATGGTTGCTATGCTCTCTACGTCATTGCTGTGTGCTTGTCCATAAAGCACACCCAGGGTCATAAAGCATAGCGCCACCAGCTAACTTCTGATTGGTTCCTTGTTATGAGACAGGCATCTGACCTCTAAGTGACCAAGGCAAGGTTATTGCAAGCACGTGTTTGGCTGTTATGGCTGCCAAAAGGGGAGCTAGTCCCTTCAGTTACATACTTCTAATATACCGTAGTACAAAGTCTGATAGAGAGAAATGTGGGGGACCGAAAATCTCTGTTATGGAATATTTTGGGTCCCAGGCTCTGGCTGCCATAAATAGTGGTGGCGCCAGGAAGCTCCAGGTCACCATTGTATTGTTAATTAACATTAGGCTGTTACTATTTACCATGGCCTAAAGTGATATGCCTTCTAATTTGCATCTGTATGTGCCTAAGCATCTGAATAAGCCCTCACCTGGGCGGAGGAGGAGTGAGAGGTATGAGTAACTTGGGAGGACGGAAGGTTGGGAGTGAAGGGGTGAGCGGCCAGAGCATCGAGAAAACAGAGAGAGAAATGGTTGCCTTGTGATATTAGCAGGATGGTTAAGAAACACTAGAAAAGATGGCTAATAAAGAAATGACTAGTTCCACAACATGGAACTGAGAGCTCTCAAGATGACAAGATGCCTATGTTTTGTCTTTATCGCTGTTGGGTTCCTCGAAGCTTCCAGGTCCACACACCCCCACTCAGGTAGAAGAACCTCATGGACTAAGGCTGAGACATGCTGGGTCACGACAGAGAAATAAGTTCATAGCTAGGAATGATGGGACCACAACAAGACCTAAACCCAGTAAGGTAATCATTTGTGATTCTGCAGCTCCTGATCTGGCATCTGGAGCTCATGATAGCATCATCTGGGCCTTGTGTGGGGTGGTGGGTACCCTGCCAACTCAGCTCTACAGCCTAAAGCACAGATGGCCTCTTACTTGGACCACCTTCACTTCCTTTTAGTTGGAAAACCAATAGCATCTGCTTCACATATATATATACTGTAGGAAATGAAAGCTACTTATCCGAAAATCTGAAAACCTTGAAAATTGACTTTGATGTTAACACCCTGGTGATTTTGTTTATTCAAGTGTCTTATTCAGAGTCCTGCACTTTCCATGTTACAGTTGTCTCCTGAGATCCACATTGAACTGGTTTGGATGTCTCACTACTCTCAGATAAAAAAAATAAGTAACACAACTAATCTTGGCTATCTGCTAGACACATCTTGGAAGAGGTGAGACTGTCTCAAAAGACAAAAACCAACCATCCAAACCCTACTAGTTTTGTATTTTGTTTGTAAATTCTGGAAATGTGTTCAAGAGCTTTTGTACATTTGTCTTTGTCCTCCATCCTGTCAAATCCTAGAGTTCAGAATTAATATTCATACTTGCTACATGATAATCTCCAGGGAGGAGATTCAATGGTAGGCCCTAAATGTCTACATTTGAAATGGGCAAGTATTTTTTTTTATCTTTAGAGTTTTTCTTTTTCTTTTCTCCATTTTTTGAACTTAAATTAGAAACAAGCTTGTTTTACATGCCAATCCCAGTTCCCTCTCCCTCCTCTCCTCCCCTACCACGCACTAACACCCTACCTATTCCATACCAATTTTGCTCCCCAGGGACGGTGAGGTCTTGCATGGGGGGGTCTTCAGAGTGTCATATTCTTTGGGATAGGACCTAGGCCCACCCCTGTGCGTCTAGGCTGAGGGAGTTTTCCTCTATGTGGAAGGGGCTCCCAAAGTCCATTCCTATGCTAGGGATAAGTACTGATTTACTACAAGAGGCCCCATAGATTTCCGAGGGAAACGGGCAAGTATTATATAGTAAACATCTTCAGAAATTTGTATTATAAAGTTATACAGTAAGCCAACCTTGTTTTCATACCATATATCATATATTTAATTTTGATACACAAGTATTTCAGTAAACTATAGAAAATAAAAGATCAAAATTTACGTGTTTCACAAACAAGCCAATGCTTTTAATGCCACAAAGAAATAAGTATGTCTCCAAATCACATTCTTGGGGAGGTTGATGTTAATTTCAAGAATGTAGACCATTAAACAGCACAAAGCCTTTTTTCAGTAGGATTTGTCTTGCTCAAATAGACAATCTTTGAGCTTTAACTGAAAATTTAGCTTTCTTTTTTATACACAAGCAACAAAATTATATAAATCAATGAGATACATGCACAAAGGAAATGCTTCCCTTCCTTTTTAGGGACAATTGTTTAGTGATAAAAGTTGTTTAGGACATTTCGGCTTAAATTGACACATTACAAAGCCACCAGTGTTGTAAAAACTATTTTAGGGTCTACAGGTTGAGCAGGGTCTAAGTGGCTGGTGATATCTCTAAGAAAGTTCTTTCTGGGACCTGAGTAAAACTTGTTTTAATTCTGTTGCAATTTAGTGGCAGAAAGAACCCTCGTGCCCAGTTGGTGAGGACAAGAACCCTGCTCACAGTTGAGTAGAAACTGGTAGGGTTCTTGTAGACCTTTGCAATGAGGGTTCCCCCCCCAAAAAAAAAATGGTTCACAGAGAAGGAAAATGACATTTGTGTCCCTGTCACTTGTTCCTTTTGCAGTACCATAGCTCCAGCTGTTAGCTGAATAAACAGGTGTGATGTTTGCAGTTGCTGTGAAGTTCGAAGTTACCTCTACTTGGGTTAAATATTAAAGGGCCTCGTGCAGGAGGTGGCTCTTGAGTGAGTTAAAGATTTTGGCTAAGTCTGTGTCAAAGGTCTTCAGAAGGAGGTTCAATCATGTGTTATAGTCTTGTGTGTGTGTGTGTGTGTGTGTGTGTGTGTGTGTGTGTGTGTGTGTGTGTGTCCTCTCGTGTCCTGGTTTGGACAGTCTTTGAGCAGTTTCTAGAGCCGTGCAGCCCATTCAACATCAAAGCAATGAAAGCTTGATCCTAGCTATCGACAGTGTGTGAGTGGCTGACGGGTGATGAATTCTTAGGGTGAGGCTCTCAGGGCGCACATGGACAATAGAGCGCGCCGGTTGGCAGGCTGGCAGTACCAGGGAGTCAGAAGAGGGT